ATCCTCCCCAGATCCTGCTTGTTCCTCTGCAGAATTCTCACCAATTCCCAGATCCTCCCCAACTCCTGCATTTTCCTTTCTAGAAACCTTGACAATTTCCAAATCCTCTCCAACTCTTTTTCTCCGTTGTAAAATCCTCCCAAATTCCCAAATCCTCCCAATTCCTGCTTTTTCCTCAAAAGAATCCTCCCCAATTGCCGAATCCTCCCCAACTCGTGTCGTCTTCCTCTGTAGAATCCTTTCCAATTCCCAGATCCTCCCCAACTCCTGCATGTTTCCTCTGTACAATCCTCTACAAGTCCCAAATCCTCCCCGGCTCCTGCCGTTTCCTGTGTAGAAACCTGCCCAACCCCCAAAGCCTCGCCAACACGTCCTTTTTTTCCTTCGTGGGACCCTCCTGAATCCCCAATTCCTCCCCGAACTCCTGTTTTTTCATATGTCGAATCCTCCCCTACTCCCAAGCCCTTTCCAACTCCTGTCTTGTAGAAACCTCCCAAATCCCCAAATCCTTTCCAATTATTGCTTTTTCCTTTCTGCAGAATACTCTCCAAATCGCAAATCCTTCCCAACTCCTGCTTGTTCCTCCTGTAGAATCCTCTCAAATTCCTTAATCATCCGCGAATCTGGCTTTTTCTACTGCAAAATCCTCCCAAAGTCCCAAATCCTCCCCCCCACTCCTGTTTTTTTCCTCTGTAGAAACCTCACAATTCCCAAAGCCTCCCCATCTCCTGCTCTTTCTTCTTGTAGAATCCCCTTTCAATCCCCAGATCCTCTCCAGCTCCTGCTGTGTTCTTTTGTTGAATCCTCCCCAACGCCCAGATCCTCCCCAACTCTTGTTTTCTCCTTTGTAGAATCCTCCCCAATTCCCACATCCTCCCCAACTCTTGCTATTCCCTCTTCTAGAATCCTCCCCAATCTCAAACCCTCGCCAGCTCCTGCTTTGACTTGTGTAGAATCATCATCAAGTCCCCAACTCCTTTCCGACAGCTGCTTTTTCCTATGTAGAATCCCCCCAGACCCCACATCCTGTCCAAATCCACATTGTTCCTGATGTCGAATCCCCCAGTTCCCAGGTCCTCCCCAATTCCTGGTCCTTTCTTTGTAGAATCCTCCCCAACCGCAGGTCCTCTCTAATTCTTGCTTTTTCCTCTTTAGAATCCTCACCAATTCCCACGTCTTACCCAAGTCCTGGTTCTTCCTGTGTAGACCCCCCCCCAATTTCTGAATCCTCCCCAACTCGTGTTTATTCTCCTTTCTAAAAAGAGAATAAACTCTACCCCCCGGACTTATCCGTTCCCATTTCGGGTATATAAATCATATATGATTCTGACCACTCGTCCATCCGAAATATGAAATCATATCATCCCAGGCAGGCCGGGTTCCCCCCTTCTGGGGTTCCCTTGTTAAAAAAAACTATGCGGTGACATCTTTTCCTCTAACATAGCAATTTTTCACTAATCCCTTGCAACAAATGGGACGAAGTGCGCACGCGCGTGTCGTCGCGCGCGCATGCCGAAATCCTTTAAAAACCTTCGGTGCCGGAAGGATTTCGCAATCGAGTTTCAAAAAAACAAAAAAAAACACGGGGGTTCGCAACACTGATTTGCTAAAAAAGCTTTCGCGCGAGCTCTTGCGAAATCTTAAGAAAACCATCGGCTGTTCAAGATTTTCACCAAATGCTACCAAACGGGCTTCGCGCGCGCGCATGTCGAAATCAGTCGAACGCCCTTGCGCGTGTGCCGTCGCGAGAATCCTCTGCAACAAATAGGACGAAATGCAGATGCGCGCGTCGTCGCGGGCGTATGCCGAAAACCTTCAAAACCCATCAGTTACGGAAGGATTCCAAAATCGTGCGTCCAAAAAACCTACAAAAACATAAGGTTTCGCAACACGGATTTTCAACAAAAGCGTGCGCGCGCGCTCTTGCGTCGTCGTCGTCGTCGTCGTCGCCGTCCTCCCTCCTCCCGCGTCGTCGTCGTCGTCGCCTACGTCGTCCTCTGTCTTTCCTCGTGTTCGTCGTCGTCGTCCTCTTTGGCGTCGTGGTCGTTTCCGTCGTCGTTGTCGCCGTGGTCGTCCGTCCTCCTCCTCCCACGTCGTCGTCGTCGTCCGTCGTCGGCGTCTCGTCGTCGGTTCTATTTCGTCACCGTCGTCGTCGTCGTTGTCGTCGTCGTCTTCCCTCCTCCCTCGTCGTTGTCGTCGTCGGCGTCGCCGTCCTTCCTCCTTCGTCGTCGTTCGCGTCGTCGCCGTCCTCCCTCCTCCCTCGTCGTTGTCGTCGTTGTCGTCGTTGTCGTCGTTGTCGCCGTCGTCGTCCTTCCTCCTCCCTCGTCGTCGCCTTCGTTGGCGTCGTCGTCGTCGTCTTCGTCTTCGTCGTCGTCGGCGTCGTTGTCGTCGTCGAAGTCGTCGGAGACGTCGTCGGTGTCGTCGTCGTCGTTGTCGTCGGTGTCGTCGTAGTCGGTCTTAAGAGGTTTTGCAAACCAAGTTGCGGGTGGGAGGGTGGGATGTTTGCGCGAGCAGTGGAGAGGACAGCTTCAAGTTGAGCAAGTGATTAGTTACACGATAGAATCCTCCCGAATGCTCCCCACATTCCCAGATCCTCCACATTTCCTGACTGTTCCTCTTGTAGAGTCCCCTTTCAATGCCCAGATCCTCTCCAGCTCCTGCTGTGCTCCTTTGTTGAATCCTCCCCAACTCCCAGACCCTCCCCAACTCCTGTTTTCTCCTCTGTAGAACCCTCCCCAGTTGCCAAATCCTCCCTAACGCCTACTTATTCCTGCTGTAGAATCCTCCCCAACTCCCAAATCCTCTCCAACTTTTTTTCCTGTGTAGAATCCTTCCCAACTCGCAAATCCTCCCTTACTCCTCCTTTTTCTCTTGTCGAATCCTTCCCAATTCCACAATCCTCCCCAACCTTGCTTTTCCTTTGTGGAATCCTTCCCAACTCTTAAGTCCTCACCAACTCCTGCTTTCTCCTGTGCAGAATCCTCCAATTCTCACATCCTCCCCAGCTCCTGCTTTTTCCTGAGTAGACTCCTCCCCAATCCCCAAATCCTCCCCAACTACTGCTTTTTCCTCCAAAGAATCCTCCTCAATTCCCAAATCCTCCCCGAACCCGGTTTTCCTTTGTGGATTCCCCCCCCCTTCACCAATCCTCCTTAATTCCTGCTTCTTCCTCTGTAGAATCCTGCCCAACTCCCGATATCCCCCCCGACTCCTGATGGTCCCTCTTTATAGTCTCACTCAATTCCCCACATCCTCCCCAACTCCTGTTTTTTTCATGTGTAGAATCATCTCCAATGCCCAAATCCTCACCAACTCGTGCTGTTTCCCGTGTAGAATCCTCTCCAATTCCCCCAACTCCGGCTATTTCCTTTTGTAAAATCCCCCCCACCTCCCAAATCCTCCTCAACTCCTGTTTTTTCTATGTCGAGTCCTCCCCGTATCCCAAATCCTCCCCAACTTCTTTTTCTCTGCGTAGAATCCTCCCCACCCTCCAAATCCTCCACATTTCCTTTTTGCTAGGTAGACGCCTCCCCAGTTCCCAAACCCGCCCCAACTCCTGGTTCTCCTTTTGTGGAATCCCCCCCCATCCCCAGATCCTCCCTAATTCCTGTTGTTGGTTCTTTGTGTCTGTGTTACTCCTGGCTTGTTCTTCTGTGTAAAATCCCCCCCGCCTCCCCAAATCCTCCCCGACTCATGTTTTTTCTCTGTAGAATTCTCCGCTGCTCCCAAATCATCCCCAACTCTTGCTTTTTTCTGTTAAGAATCATCCACATCTGTCAACTCCCCCCCAGCTCCTAAAATCCTCCCCGACTCCTGCTTTCTTTTGTGCCGAATCCTCCCCGACTCCCAAATCCTCCCAACTCCCCAAATCCTCCCCAACTCCTGATGTGTTCTTCTGTGTAGAGTCCTCCCCAACTCCCACATCCTCCCCAACCCCTGCAAATCGAGATGCTCTCGAAAGTCACGCTGTAATCATATGATTCGTATTCTGGGCCTGCAGTATTCATACCAGTCCCAATTATTGCTGTACTTGCATACAGTGAGCGCTACAGCAAATAATTCCTAGACTAATTAACGCTGTACTGTAGCGAGGGTTCTTATATAGTGCGCCCCATTCGTTGCTGAGGGTCTGTAGTCTGGCGACTGTTCCTGGTCATTGGACGTGGTGAAAGAAGAGGAGGAGCGCGACTTGCAGGACCAGGCCAAAATGGAGGCGAACTCTTTTTTCCCGTGCATTCTGCGTTGTTGGGTCCTCGTTTTACATACGCGTGTCCCGCGTCACACCTCACTCAATTACTCACTCACTCCCGCCCCCTCCTCCCTCCTCCCTCCTCCCATCCCTGCCTCTACCCTCCGCATGCCCATTTTGGCACACCCCTTACACTCTTCCTCTTCCCATAGGGAGCTCCACTGGAGGCCCCCATGGCAGGGCTCGCATGGCGCCCGCCACTGTCAGCACACCCCTCACACGCTTCGTGGGGAGCTCCACCGAAGGCCGCAGTGGCAAGACTCGCGCAGCGCCGCCCCGCCGGTTTCGGCACACTTCTCACGCGTGTCGTCGCCCCGCAGGGGGGTACGAGCGAAAGCCCTGGCGGCTGCGTTCGCATGGCGCCGCCCCGCCCAGTTCGGCACGTCCCACACATGCTGCATGGCCCCCGTTGAAGCTCCACCAGAGGGCCCAGTGGCAGGCTTAGCATGGCGCCGCCCCGCTCGTTTCGGCACACTCCTCGAGCTCCTGGCTTCGCATGGCGCCGCCCCGTTTCGGCGCACCCCTCACACGTGTCGTGGCCCCATCGTAAGCTCCACCGAAGGCCCCTTCGGCAAGATTCGCATGGCGCCTCCTGCCTATTTCGATACACCCCTCGCACGTTCCGCACCAACGTCAGAAGGTCCACCGAGGGACTGAGGACGCGCCTTGCGCTACTCGCAGCTGCAACTGGTTGGGCAATTCGCCAGCCTGATAAATAAACTTGCACTGCAGAGGCGAAAAGAGCGCTCTCCTTCGTAGGCGATGGTCCGTGGTCTGGAGACTGCTGCTGATGGCTCACCATGGCGCCGCCCATCGGCAACACCTGCTTGGGAATAAGGGTAGGAAAAGGGGGAAGAGGAGAAGCACGACCAGTGTAATCACCGGGCAAAAGACTTGGAAGCCGTGGGATCGAGACTAGAACGAAAATGATGTCATGATGCGATTGGCTCAAGATGCGTCCCAAGATTTCCCAAATATCTGGCGGCTCTCGACTCTAGAGTCCGCGTGGAACAGCAGACACACTCGGACATCCTGAAACGCATCACTATCATTACCCCTTTCCCTTCTCCAAGAAGGTAGGGAAGATTTCTGCCCCTTTCAACCTCAGTGCGTTGAGCTGGAGGCGAAGGCAACGACAAGGGAGGGAGGAGGGATGGGATGATGTCAGGGAAGACGGAGAGGGATGGCGTCAGGGAAGGAGTGGAACACGCACCGGGAAATAAGCAACCGCTCTGAAGCAGCACGACCAGCACAAGCATCAACATCAGGCATCCCGTGGCGACAAGGGTACGATCTGCTCTTGCGCTCGAGCCGCGCTGCCCGCCACATGTCGCACGCGTACCAGTGGACTTGGTCGCGAGGGTGATTACAGGGAGCTCCAGTACTCTCAGCGTCGCCCAGGGCCAAGTTCTGGATGGTGCGTCGGCCGTCAGGAGGAAGCAGAGCGGCAGCGGCGGGGGCGACGGCAGGAGGCATGCGGAGCAGCCCGCGTTGACCTAGCATCTGATGGCCGACCTCAACCCCGAACGCTGCATCTGGGTGGCCACCTTCCAGCCCTGGCAGGCTGCACAAAAGTCGCATCAGGCCTCGGGTCACGCCTGCCTCTCTGTCCTGAGCTCTTCCTGGCTGCCAGCCGTGTGCTGTTCACGTGTGGGAGCGCATGCTGCGGTGGTCAGCCTCACACCAGACTGCATGACTGCAAACCGACAGAGCTGGGTGGCCATCCAGCACGCTGCCTCCCGTCAAAGGGCTGCGCGTTACTGCTGTATCCCAACTGGCGCTCGCAACGTTGACGCTGTCAAACTCGAAAACGGCATACTCATCAGACGCTCCCTCCTCAATTTGTTCCTCCGCCTCCTCCACCTCCACCTCCTCGTCTCTCGTCTTTCTTCACACCCCGAGTAGCCTGAGGTCGCGGAGCAAGCAGGGCCGCCCCCAGAGGCGGCGCAAGGGTGTTGAGACCGCCCAAGGGCTACCCGGGGAGCTGGGACCTCTTTCTCCTCCTCCGCCTCCTCCTCCTCTTCCTTCCTCCTCCTCCCTCCTCCTCCTCCTCCCTCCCTCCCCCTCCCCCTCCCCCTCCCCCTCCCCCTCCCCCCCCTCCCCCTCCCCCTCCCCCTCTTCCTCTTCCTCCTCCTCCTCCTCCTCCTCCCTCGTCCTCCTCTCCTCCTCCTCCTCCTCCTCCTCCTCCTCCTCCTCCTCCTCCTCCTCTTCCTTCCTCCTCCTCCTCCTCCTTCCTCCTCCTCCTCCTCCACCAATTACTCAATATGAATACTACTCTCCCTCTTCCCTGGTGACCCCCCGACCCCCCCCCCCCCCGTGCTGTTTTTTAACACACAGGTTTCCCCGGAGTTGGGTTTTCGCCTGCATTTTTTCCAAAATGCTGCTTTCGCTGAGGCGCCGGCCTCAGTTTCGGGCCCCGCTCGTTCCGAATCGTGCTCCCGCTGCAGCGCTGCGCTGCCCGAGCTGGCGCCCGGGCCGGCGCTCGGGCCGCCGGGTCCGGAGCCGGTTCCGGCCGCCCCAGGAAAATGGAGTTCCGAGGCGGCGCCGAAAAATTCTAATACACATTTTTCTTCGAAAATGCTCAATTTCTGCTTCCGGCGCCCGGGAGGCCTCCTGGGCCGATTCCGACGCCCGGGCCCGCGCCCGAGCCGGCGCCCGGGCCGCACGCCGCCCGAGCAGCAGCAGCAGCAGCAGCAGCAGCAGCAGCAGCAGCAGCAGCAGCAGCAGCAGCAGCAGCAGCAGCAGCAGCAGCAGCAGCAGCA